ACCATGTGGCATCCAGCAGAGTCTGACCAGTGATTTCCTTCTCAGTAGCTTCTAGTCAGGTTGTTTAGTAAAGAATCTGTTACATTGGGTAATAATGTCATGTATTTTTTAAATAGGTTCACAGAGACAGAGACGTACATGGAGGACTTTTCTCTCCAGGTGGACATTATGGAGCCCGAGTGCAACATCATAAAACTAGGCCCCAAATCTCTGGAGGTCCCTGAGTTCTACGGGCTCTCCGGTGCTGTTGATGGCAATGTGGTGTCTTTTCACTACGAAAGGAGATCTAGTCTGGATTGTAGCATCCTTATCAGTCAACAGAACACCAACATGCCTGCTCATGGCCAGTTGGTAACTGGAGAAGCAGAGAAGGCCACCACGAGAGGGGATGAACCAGAGAGCTTCATCCACCTGCGTCAGCAGCTGGGTAAGCTGAGAAGTCCTTCTGAAACCGAATGAAAATGACATCAACAAACTCAACAAAGAAATACGTTTTCAGTCTTTATTTCACGTTTTCAGTCTTTATTGGCATCCGCATCCATGACCTTTAATTACAATTACTGATTATGTGATATGTTTACAGTAGTGGTCTTGTTCTAATAAGTTTGTGCATCCTTTTGAATATGTAATATTGTATATTATGCAATACTATCACATGTACACATGTTACTTAGTACATATATGCATCTATATATAAATAAATGATGTGTTCTCTGAATGTCCTCTTCATGTTGCAGATAATAAAGCCAGAGCACAGTGTAAATCTGAAGATTGCCTGAAGGGCCTGAAGCTGGTGAAGTTCACCAAAATTCCGTGTGATGAGTTTCTAATGATGGGGCTAAAGTATCAGCACATAGACCCCCCATCCCCAGACGTAGACTACATCACAATCAGATTGGACCTTAAAGATACCAGGAGTGGCAGCATTTTTCAGGTAAATGGGCAGCTAAATCACATATACATATTTCAGGATGATGAATGATTTAGGGGTTTTCCAAAGGTTCGAACGTCACAGGTACACGATGAAAAGGATCCAAAAACCAAGTAGTATGTAGTTGAAGGAAAAAACAAAATACATTACTTACAAAATGGTAACAAAAAGTGTGGAATAATCCATCAAACCAATTAACTGAGTAGTTAAACCAAAATGAAAGGATTAAAAAAACAAACAAAAACAAAACGATCCAAAGACACAAATGTCAAGGAGGCTTGATGATATATGATAATGATTTAGCAGTGAAAATTGAATACAGGTGGAATGACTGGAACAAAAGGCACGTTCATTAAAGCTGAGGAACCTGGAGTAATCCATATTAAACATTTGCTTGGGTTTACAAGAGATACAATGTACTAGATTTCACCTCTTAGAATTGCAAATTATTGCCAGACCATGATGTTCTCTGTCCACTTGCTTGGACATTTCATGTGGCTTGTGGTATTTATCTTGAATTAATATATATGTGAAATGCAATTGTAAATCAGAATCATTCTTTTTCTGGCATGTTGCAGTCTGAGCAGGCCTGGATTCCGGTTCGTATCGTCGGTGCAATGCCCAACCAGCCTCCGACACCATCCTTCATGTCCATGTTTATCTTGGAGGTAGACCAGTTTATCCTCACATCGCTCTCCACTACCACGCTCGATGCCGAGGACGAGGAAACTCCCAAGCAGCTTTTGGTTTTTAACATCACCAAACCCCCTGCTGA